TAAAAGTTATGATTATTTATGCAAAAACGACTTTTGTAGAAAAATTAAGATTGACATGGTTTTCTGAATCTAACGTGACATTATAGTTAAACATAGTCATTTAGGTGTGGTATTGAAAATAATAACTTCAATTTTCATAAAAAAACGGTTTTTCATGGATAATTTTCCCAAATAATGTCTGATTAGAAATGTCAAAATATATTTATTGAAAACAAAGACCAATACGTGCTTTTATGAAAAAACAAATCCATAGACCTATCTATAGCTATGCCCCAAGGTACTTTAAGTAAAAAGTTGCATCTTTTCTAAATAAAATACGCTTGACGGTTTGTTATTACCAGATTATAGTAGTGGTTAAAATAATTTTTCCATAAATACTAAATATGTCATACTTTTTAATGAAAAAACTTACATATAATGTAATTGAAAAAACTTATGTTTTTTTTCGGAAAAGCGTGTACCATGCCTTAGTTGCATTGAGAAACTCAGGACCGTCGAGAGCTGTCACGCCGCCTGGGACAGCAATCAAATTTTCCCTCTATTATATATAAAGGACCTTTTTTTTAGGTACCTATATTTTATTTGGCGCCCAGGACAAACTGTTCGAAATATATAAGTTCGAAAAATATATATATATATATAATATATATAAGTTCGAAATATATATATATATATATATATATATATATATATATATATATATATATATATATATATATATATATATATATATACATATATATATATATATATGTATGTATATATATATATATATATATATATATATATATATATATATATATATATATATATATATATATATATATATATATATATATATATATATATATATATATATATATATATATATATATATATATATATATATATATATATATATATATATATATATATATATATATATATAATATATATATATATATATATATATATATATATATATATATATATATATATATATATATATATATATATATATATATATATATATATATAAGTTCGAAACATATATATATATATATATATATATATATATATATATATATATATATATATATATATATATATATATATATATATATATATATATATATATATATATATATATATATATATATATATATATATATATATATATATATATATATATATATATATATATATATATATATATATATATATATATATATATATATATATATATATATATATATATATAAGTTCAGAAATTCATCTTCTGTGGGTTTTAATGTAATGTTTAACAAAATTGTTATACAATTATATAAAACTTCGTTTAAATACGAAGAAATAAAATTCTGAATGAAAATGTACATTATACAGTGCAAATTAATGCATTTTATTTTAATATTTATTAAAATATTATTTAACACCGACAATCTCCGTTAGGTACAAAGAATAGAAGATAATAAATGGAATAAACTTTTTTAAGTATATAAGAAATTAAGTTTAATAATATTTTATATATCAAATTTCAAAGTTGTTATTTGATTTCAAAATTTCTCTTTTTATTTGAAACTTGAATAAATTTACTGATTTCACCATGTTGAACTGGTTATTTTTAATGATGTTCAAAATCTTCAAACCATATCCTTAAAAACTGTGTTTGTATCAAAGAAAGCTCATGAAGTATCTGTATTTAATACTAAATAGAGTCTTGGAAAACATATTTAGTCAACATTTGTTCCCTGGACAAGGCCGGATTGGTGGGGGCTTCTCAGTTGGATAAGACTTGATATACTTCATTTTTACTTTTAAAAAAGTAACTTAGCAGCTAAATATAACGCTCACAAATGTATTTATAAGTGTAATATTCAAATACTGTGCAAAATGTTGACTATTGTTTAACGTTTATAAAATCTGTATGAATGTGAAATTGTTCTCGTGAAAAAATCAATTTCCTTGAAATGTTGGACAAATAATGTATACGAAATGTATAGAAAATCAAAATAAAGTTAATTTTAGGTTCTATTTCTACAATTATTTGCCTCTTGCAATGCGGGGGCAACGGCTAGAAGCAAATGCGAGGGCATTCGATTCTTGGCCTTTATCCCTTGACTTTTTGCGTTTGGCTAGAAGTTTATTTTTTATTTTTAAATTAGAGCCACCAAATTTATTTTTCCTAGGATCTCCCTATGACTCAGACCGACTCTGCTTTGGAATACATATTAAATTAACAATTTTATGAGGTAAATGTATTTCAAATATAATCTTAAATTGACAGTATCTTAAAAATAAGTACACACACACAAATACATGCAAACAAAAAATAAATACATCAATGAATAGAAAACTAAAACAGGCACAATAAAATTAAAATTAAAATGAATAAAGTATATTATTAAAAAACCGAAAATAAGTTTCATAATAAAGTTACTTTTCATTTTTTAGAGCATAGTCCCTTAAAATCTAATTTTTCTTTGCAATGACATTTTAAAACGTTTTAAAAGCATACAAGTTTCCATAGCAAAAAAAAAACGACACAAGTTGTTTAAGTTGCCGGTACCGATCTACCACTATAATAATAACTTAATACTTTAATGCCATAATTATTTTTAATTGTAATTTATTAAATAAATAGTTATATATTATAAACAGAATTAACAAATCTTTCTTTTTAAATTAATTAAACTTTTTTATTTGGTTTGTTTGATATTTTTAAATGTTACTTTCCCCACCAATCGCCATCAGAGTGGCTATTTTCTAAATGACTTCCACAACAATCGTTGCAACAACAGCCAGAATCATGATGATGATGATGCAATTCTAATTGAGGAAAATGATGAACAGTACTACAACTTTGGGGATGTTTATGGTGATGATGATGTATTTCATGATGATATACATGGTGTGGATGAACAACAGTTTCGTGGTCATGGATATCATGGTGGTGATGATGGTGTGTTATATCATGGCATAAATGGTGATGATGACAACATTCGTGATGATGATGGTTACAGCAGCAGTCATGATGACAACAATCATGATGGCAGCAATCGTGATGACAGCAGTCATGATGACAGCAATCGTGGTGGCAGCAGTCGTGACAAGGGTGGCAGTAATGATGCGAGCATGTATGATGACAACAGCAACATGGCTGTGAACAACATTGATGGCAACAAGTACAGCAGCAAGGACAACAACAACAACAGTTATTATTTCCGTTGTTTCCATTATTTCCATTATTTCCATTATTTCCATTGTTTCCGTTATTTCCACAACAACAACCACAGCAACAGTTATTATTATTATTTCCATTATTACCATTGTTGTTGTTTCCGCAACAATTATTGTTATTGTTATTATTATTATTATTATTATCTTTTTTTAAAGAATTCTCCGTTGAGTTTGACAAAGTAGATGGCATATCAGTATCATTTGCTTTTGTTAGAGCGGGAACTTTATCTTTTTCAAAGTTATCATTTACAGCCAAAGGAACAACGTTTTGTTTTTTGCAACTTTGTGCATTGCAGCTACAACGGCTAAGAAAGTTGTTATGGTATTTTTTTGAAGGAATCCTATCTCTTGTTTTTCCTTGCTCTGACATAAACATTCCTTCTTGTTCAAACTGAGGAGCAAAGTCTGTATTTAAAGGAGACCTTACAGACGTTTTTTGTAAATACTGCACTGGAACAACTAAAGAAGATTGAAATGCGTTTGGCAAATACGGATAAGATTTCTGATTTCTTCTAAGTCTTTGGAAATTCTCAGTTTCTTTTTCTTCTAAATCAGGTACGGGTCCATAAGCTATTGGTTCAGGATTGTAATGAAACACTCTAGCTACATAAGGAGATGACCGATAATTACGTACGTTTGTTGGGAAAAATGTCATGCTTGATGTTTTTGCACTGTTTTCAGGAGACTGGTCTCGTGATGATCTTATCATATCTTCGTTTGCTTGTTGAATGTCGTCAAAATCATAACCTACATCTGATTTGTTGTCATCAGTATCTTGAATAGCTGAATCTGATCGTCTTGTAGAATTTTCTACTTCTGGTTTTTCAGAAGCAAACTCAGATTCTCCAGATCCAGACTCTTGTTCTTGTTCATTTATTTCACTACGGCGTGATTCTTCAACACTTTTCTCATCTTCATTGTTAAACTCTGAAAATGCATCGCGTTTTTGCTTTCGACTAACTTTAATCTTTTTCAATGCATCAGTCTATAATAAAAACAGAGTTTGTGAAGCGTAAGTTTCGTTTGCAGGAGTTTCAAGTCAATACTTTTTTATAACAGCAACAAACAAAGTTTTTGAAGCAATTTGTGTCGCTGTAACGGGCCGCTGCAGTGGCCCATTACTGTGGTTCACTACAGCGCGCTGTAATGAGCCACTGTAACAGACCGCTTTGAAAATTTTTTTTATAAACAGTTAAAAAATTTTTCAAATTAGATTGGATAAAAAAATGATGTTTAGCTAAAAATGAAGTATTGACGTGTATACAGACATTCGTTACAAGACTCCATTTTATGAAACTGCTTCATAAACTCTGTTTTTTGTTTAAGTTTTCCTAGGAATATTGAAAGTATAAAATGATTTCAAAATATGATGATTATGTTTGATCATGTTAGATTAAAATTATGGATGATTAGCAGAACATTATTTTTTATTATAATGTTAAAATACAAACTTAAAAAATTGAAACGTTTATCGAGATACACCATGATGTAGGTAGCTATAATAACCTAACAGCAACTTTTTTTTGTAGCCTTTAAAACTTTTTTTTTTTTTTTTTTTAAAAAGTATTTTTAGTTACTTGTAATTTTAATTTAATTTTTTACTTATTTTTTTTTTAATTTGCTTTTGATATAGAAAAAATATTTTATCTTCATTTCGCGTCAAGTTTTTACGCTAAATCGTGTACAGAGTTAAAAAGTTTTAAGTTATAACTCAATCTTCTTCTATATAATAAGTAAAGAAAGAAACTTTTAAGATTTAGTGTTAAATATTTAAAAATACTAACTTCGTGGGATGTTTTCAAAGATTCATCCTCATCTTTTGTGCTTCTAGTTTGGCGGTCACTTTCAAAAAGCTGGTCAAAATTGTCTGTAATTGCTTTAATATACCCAGCATAAAATTCTCGGCTATGAGGTAGCTCTGAGCTTAATGGCTTTGATTGAACAACAACCAAAGCAAAAAGCAAGATCGTACATAGCGCTAACGTTTTCATTTTCAGCAATGTTCTTAACTCCTTTTTTTTAAGTGAAAAAATAAACTTCGATTTTCTCACTTCACGCTTCTATGGCATCATAGAACTTTACGCAAAGTTAAGAACCGCAGGTGATCTTAGACAATGTTGTAAAGCAAGATTCTCTGTTTAAGCTCTATTTAGAATGAAAGCCTTACCGAGAAGGTTAACACAGCGCTGTTGTCACACTAGGGTACCTTGGTCTAAAATCATTTTAAGAATAATTGCTTGCTATTAAATATGCTGAAAAGCGATTTGTGATCACATGCTTTAAACTCCGACAGTGTCTTGCAGTGTTGCAATAAGTATTAAGCATTTAGTGTAGTTTTCGTTTTCTGATAAATCAAAGACGTACAAATTGATGGACGTTTAAGTCATTGTTATAGATTGTAGCCAATAAATGAAATCTTTTGCAGGTTACTTCAGCAACTCTTTTCCAAATAATTTTATCAAACAAACCGACAATTTTAATTTCCTAACTCTTTTAGTAAACATTTTAATTCATATAAAACACTAACTTTTGAGTAATACAAATGAATTTTGGATAAGAAAATCTCACTGTTTTAGTTTATGTTAATTTAAACTGACGACATATATCATGTTTTCTGTAATAAATTTTCCAAAGTAAGAAAATTTTTTGACGTGTTGTAAGTCCATATAGATCGTTTATAGGTCAAGATAGAGATTGTTTTTAGTAAACAAAATGTTTACCTTAACCCTGATCCTTAGGGTTAGGCTCAGGGCTATTAAATGTTCCTATTGATTTTTAAACAAATTAATAAAATATATTTTTTTATTTATTTACAATATTTTACATAATAAAATTATGTCAATAATAATCTCTTATGATGATTTATATTGTTAATATAATATCATCTATAATAAGGATGTTATACTATTTTTACTAAGAGTTACTGCATACTCGCGAGGTGTCATTGAAAAATTTATGTAGAATGCACGGCTGCAGATAAAAATACAATAAAAATACTCACTATCGGTTGAAATCTGTTGTTGACTTAGTTAGATATTAGTTTGTGTAACAGTAGAGTTTCTTTTGTATCAATCATTTTTCTTTTGTATCAATCATTTTATTTGCTTGCATACGTACTTGAAGCTCAAAATGGATTTGAAGTTGAAAAAAGTAAATAGTTCTTGTCATTTACAGAACATAAATAATGTTATTGTGTATGTAACACAGTTATTAAAATTGGAAGAAATAAAGCTATCACTACATCAACATCGAGGAATTCGACGTTAAACGAAATTAAGGCAATTCAACTTGATATTAAATCAAAGCGTGATTTTAACTATTACAACGAAAGCGAAAAATTATTTTGTAATTGTTAAATTGCAATAGTTTTTGTCAAGTTTGTATCAAAACATTATTTTTAAATCAAATGGAATATGGAAATTGAAAGTTTTAAAATGGAAAGTATTATTATCTAATGTTGTTATTAAAAATCTTTCTAATCAATCAACATTTCAATATGCTGATATTATTTCCTTAACTATTTCATCTATTTTTATCTGCATAAAGAGATAATGGTTTTCCATATTAAATCAGAAAAAGTTTATCTAAGCAAACCGAGGTTTTCTAATTTCTTAAACTTATTAAATGAGGATATTTAAATTTATCAAATTTATCAACTGGAAATTATCAAATAAAGTTTATGGAATTTAAAGAAGGGCATTTTATAATAAAGAAGGACATGCATTACAATTATCGCGTTTAAAGAAGGACAAAATTTAAAAATAAAAATGTTCATTTATATGTTTGGAACCTTGTTTTTTTTTTAAAACAATTTACTGTACTAGCTTTTATGCAATGGAATCAATAAAAGAGTTCCAAAACAAAAATTCATTTCAGTTTGTAGTCAGAATTAATAACAAAACTAAACTTTTTTGAAAAAGAAAAGTCTTTTTTAAAACAGTTATGAAATAACCTAAAGAAATCTATATGAAAAAAAAAAAAGATGCTGTTTTTGAAGATGATAAACACAATATGATTGTTGAAATGTATAATAAATATGGGACCTTTTATCCACTTAAAGATAAGAGATCTATGAAGTGACATTCATTAATTCTTAAGTGCACGACTTTTTATCTCAAATCTCCAATTACTTATTGCCATACTTGTTTGACAATGTTTTTTAATCTACCATCGGAAAGTATAAAAGCCCATCTAAAGCATGTTTCAATCATTTTTGATGAGAAAGTTAAAGAAGGCTTGCTTTTAGCTCATCAACTGGGAAATAGATTGCTTTACAGAAAGTGGATTAATCAATTGTAATTTTGACTCAAAGGTTAAGAAAACAGCCAAGTGGTAGATCCAACAGCTAGACAATTGGAGTCATATAGTCATACGAGTGGGAGTGCAGTTGGTGTAGAGCACTAATGCTAATTTAAAAATTATAACTTAATAATATAGAGAATGGTAAAACTATAGAAATAAATATTGATTTTGACTTATTTTTATTTCATTAACATCTTTGATTGATATAATAATGTTAATAATGATAAATCAATTTAAATATGATGATTTTAAAGTACTTCTATTTGAATCTTTGAATGTTTTATTGAATATGAATATAGAAAAGATTATTTCCAATATACTATGCACATATGGCTATGCACATACCCAATCAGTTTTTATTTAATTTTTTTTCAGTGACTCCAGAATACATTTTTTAGATTTATAAATAGTTAAGAAAAACAGTGCTAATATGAATACTGAGTTCTTTTTGGGACTCTGCATCCCTAGTTTGGTTCACTAGTGTCAGGTCCAGGTATAATCCTGGCACTAGTGAACTTGCAACAATAGTGAGTTGGGACTTTGTATGACTTTAATTTTTTACAAAGATTTTTGAATATGTGTGTATATATATATATATGTATATATATATATATATATATATATATATATATATATATATATATATATATATATATATGTGTGTGTGTGTGTGTGTATATATAATATATATATATATATATATATATATATATATATATGTGTGTGTGTGTGTGTATATATAATATATATATATATATATATATATATATATATATATATATATATATATATATATATATATATATATATATATATATATATATATATATATATATATATATATTTAAGTGCATTATTTTTTATATCCACTTTATTTTACTCATTGTATATTTATTATATTGGGCCTTGAGCCTATCAATGAATATGATTGATTGATATATATATATATATATATATATATATATATATATATATATATATATATATATATATATATATATATATATATATATATCTATATATATATATATATATATATATATATATATATATATATATATATATATATATATATATATATATATATATATATATATATATATATAGTCTTGCATGGTAGTCACAAAGTTTTTCCCTTAAACTGTTGTTTTAAAGAGCGTGATAATAAGCCTCACCAGAAAATAATAAAAAACTTCAAAAAAATTTTTTTTTCAAATGATAGACTGCCTGCCCAAACCAAACCCTCAGTCAATGTAGCAGCACTCCCTTGCAAGTCAGGCTATTTGTCAGTCGATGTAGCAGCACTCCCTTGCGAGTCAGGCTATTTGTCAGTCGATGTAGCAGCGCTCCCTTGCAAGTCAGGCTATTTGTCAGTCGATGTAGCAGCACTCCGTTGCGAATCAGGCTATAATATAGTCGATGTAGCAACACTCCCTTGTAGCAGCAGGCTATAAGATAGTCGATGTAGCAACATTTACACATGTTTTAAAAATGTTTGTAATAAAACAAAAACAAAAACACCACTAATTAAAAAAAACTTTCTAGTCATTATTATTGTGGTTTTTTTAAAAAACAATAAAATTTAATGTACTTCCGCATTAATTTAATTGCTTTGACATTTCGACGACAATAAAATGCAGCTTAAGAGACAAGGTTAAAAAATTGTAGTCGAAAGAGACTTTTTTTTTACCATAAAAGTCTCTTTAGACTACACTATAAGGATATATATATATATGAATTTATATGAATATGTATGTGTATCACACTATGATAGCTGAGTCAGAAGACTCAGCTATCATAGTGTGCTTTAAAACCACACTCACTGCATAAACTAATACTATATATATATATATATATATATATATATATATATATATATATATATATATATATATATATATATATATATATATATATATATATATATATATATATATATATATATATATATATATATATATATATATATATATATATAGGCTTGCTCTCATTAAGATTTTCTCTCCTAATTAATTATATAATATAAATATATAATTAATTATAGTTAATTATAATTAATTATAGTTATGACAAGTCCTTTGACGCATAAATTAATCTGCGGCGCGAAATTTTGGTGCTAAAATAAAAATAATAATTTTTTCAGAAAGAAAATTTATTAGCTAAAAATCCAATCCATTTTTGTTTGAAAAACAATGAATAGAAACATTTAGTTTTGACTTTATTTAAAATTTTTTTTTTATAGTAGTACCTAGTAGAAAAATGTTAATTATTTTAATTGGGAGGTTTTTATGGGTTTTGACCTCCGACTAACTAACCACGGCACTGTTTTAACATTTTTTCATTTAACTGTTTTCATTTAAATTATATAAATATATATATATTTATTTAAATTATGTAAATATATATATTTATATAATTTAAATGAAAAAAGAACAACTTTTTATGGATATATATATATATATATATATATATATATATATATATATATATATTGTTATATATTTAAAACTTTATTCAGAGTATATATATATATATATATATATATATATATATATATATATATATATATATATATATATATATATATATATATATATATTAATTTATATAAGCAATATTAAATAATTTATAATATTAAATAGTATATATAAAATATATATAAGTAGTATAAGTCTAGTATTTTCAATAGTCAAATAAGAAATTGATATCTTAGATATCTTTATTAGTTGCGCAATGTTTATTTTAAATAATTTGATGATGCTTTT